CCCCCCCCTTCCCCCCTCCCCATTTTTTTCCTTACCCACAATTTTTTGTTTAACACAAGTGACAGTTATTTGAAATCAGTGCGCGCCTAAAGCTGGTTTCGGTGCCGTTTAGCAGCTTAGTTTTAGATATTGGTCAACTTGAGAAAAGTTTCCCGGAGAGCATCATGTAAAGCTCTGAGATGGCACAAAGTTATTACGATTCGCAGGTCTGCATCGTCCAATATCGTATTATCTTCTCGTTTCATTTGGCTACGGATCAATCACCCTGATCCGGGATGAGACAGAAAGGTACGATATTGTTCGCTTTTCTAAGGTGACCACTAAGTCTTTGGCCTCGGGAACAGGCTCTTAGGAGTCAAATGAATTAGGTGAGAGCAAAATTGCAGTGTGACTCTACATCCGGGAACTTGAATAAGACGAGTATTAGAGAAAAGTCCAGAGGTGTTTATCTGGCAATAGGTTGAGTTTTTCCGAGTAATTCGATGATATTTTGCTTATGTTAAACGTGAAGAAGATTATGCGTGGTTGTGGATAGTCTTATAAGTGCCGCGGAAGTGTGTGATGTGTGGTTTCCGCATGGTGCTGACAGGTATGTGATCGCGTGGTTGAACTGCGGTTTGGCCAAAATATTCTGTGCCAGCCATTAATATTCTTTCGTGGGTGTTTAGCAGTTAGCTGATTGTACCTTGGAAAAGCGACTCTCGACTCAGGAAAATTGAATCTAGGTCTAGTTTCAGCGGGCTCTAATGGCACTGAACCATAGGCCGATTTTCTGCAGATAAGAAAGCGATAATTTGTGCACTACGTTTGCATTCGGTTTGTTGTCTATTCCATGCGGGATTCTGTTGTTTATCGAACCACGAAAAAAGTAATGTTTTGCTGACTATTTAAGTTGTTATGTAAGCCTTTAACTAGGCACTCTTTCGCTGCGGTTCACTCAACTTAAAAATTTCTAGGCTGAAATGACAACTGAAACTTCGCGAAGTCAGTTTACTGAATAAATGTTCTAAAATTTGTGTCATTTTAAATTTGGAGTCGTTGAAATGCTTCTAGGGACCATAAACTTACTACCCGGCGTCAGATAAACGCTTTTAATCGGCCTTTGAATGAGTTTTATTGTTTTAAATTGCCAAGTAGTAGAATGAGTTGATATTTTTGCTAACCCGGTTTTCAAAAATCCAGGTATCTACTATATGATACTATATGTCCTCGTGGAACTCTTGTAGCTTCTCGACGCCGCAAAATCAAGAGAAAAAGCACATCGCAAGGCCCGACGTTCGCTCTCCGATTAAATGCATCATTATGTTTGGCTTGTTTGCGAAACACGCGCAAAAATTCTAATGTCTGACCCAGAAACATCGCTGACGATCCCGCGTCTCTTGTCGTTGAGGCGATCGAGACCATCAATCGTCCCAGTCGTCCGGATCTTGTCGAAGTTTTTGGAAACGACTGGGACGATCGGGACGATCCGGACTATCATGATAGCGAAATTGTTCCTATACTTGAAACAAAAAGGCGCGTATCAAAAGGCGTCTGTTTCAGATGTTTTCTAAACTGATTTAACATAAAAGTAATATTATCATTTTAAGCAGGAAAATGATTTTGCTTACCCATATTCCGATCCAAACTCCAGAATACACGTAGCCAGTAAAGCTTCCAGGGACAAGTCGATCGGCAATACCGAAACTAAACAGTAAAAATCCAATAACAATTTGATTAATGGCCAAAAGCCTAGCCATTTTAGCTACGCTTGCCGAGTTTTCCGCCATGGCGACAAAGCGACTTGCAGTCAACAGTGGAATTGAAGTTTGCGTCTTAAAACTCTCATGAATATGTAAAGCACAGGACACCCAACGGCTGTTTTCTGTATAATATCTGTTAGGAAAAGCAAATATTGCCTAGAATTTTTTATTACTTGAGGACAGCTGAAAAATGTCTGGTTGACGTTTCCATTTATGTACAATTTTCGAAGCTTATCTTATAAATTCAATACGATTTTCTGAAGTTTCGATCATTTTTCACATTTTACTGTTCAGTGTAAGCTATTTTTCGTACAAAAAAGAAAACCTAAAATTGAAGAAGGGAATCAGAAAAATTCTCAATTTCCTAATACATTAAATTGCGTCTAAAATTTTCGGAGAATTACTGCCTGTAACCCTGAAGTCCTTGTAATTTCTAGTGTGAAAGTCTCAGGAAAGAAGAGAAGGAGGAACTCAAGCTTTTCAAACTTTGAAAACAATGTGCTTCGCATTGAAGGAGAGGGCATCGTTTCAGCGCATTACAGGAAGATTGTGAGAGAGGCCGGAGAAGATTATTATGTTTTCCTTTCAGAGCCAGTTTCTATCTCAAACTTAGTCGACAAAAGTGATGAAAAAGCACAGTCTCCTTTTTAGTCCTCTCCGTTCACTAGATTTTTGCTCAGTTAAAAGGTTATGCCGCTACTGTGGACGACTGTCATCTGTCTTGCGACCGCTTACCCGGGAGCAAAAATTAATTGTTCAAAATTCACCATTATGACTAGCAACTCTGCAATCGTACGTTTAGAGAGTAAAGTGGTACAGTGGGGGCGAGCATTTGCCTCCCTGAATAATGTGGCCTAGGTTTGAATCCTTGAGGTGACGTCATATTTGGGCAACATAATTTCACTTGGATGTGAGGCGTTTTCAACGAAGAGAAGCTCATTATTTTGAGAAAAATGCAAAGATTGTTAAATAGAACAACTAAGAAGTTCAGACGTCTTTGTCAACTTTTTTTCTGGAAGAGGACAGTAGGGGTAAGAATCTGGGAGAATAGGGGGCGAGCGGCGGTGTGGGTTTAATTTTGAAACGTGATTTCTTGTCGTTTTCGGGGTTAAAAAAAATCGTGAATGAAGGAACGTGCTGACGGTAGTTATTGTGAATCGATTATCGCCTTCATTAATAAGATTTTCTTGATAAGCCTACTCAGTACCTTCCCAGCCTTTTTCTGTAATCTCCTCATGGGAAATACGCAAAAATTGATATATTGTGGGGGGGGGGGGGGGGGGGGGGGGGGGGGGGGAGGCGCCGATGCGCGAGCCGCCAGTTTTCTTCTCCTACCAATGTAGTCTCCCACGCAGGCGTTTTTAGGGGAGCCCCATGGGGCCTGAGCTCGAATCCTACGTATACAGGTGACGTCATATGTGGGCTGAGCTTGTTGATTGACCTCGGTTAAAAGAGCGGAATTTGTTAAAGCTTTTAAAAGCCTGGCAAAGTGTCTTGATTCTAAGGTTATTGTTTCTAAGTAAAGTGAAATACGTATCTGATACACCGTGAAGTTTGAAATTTTTGTTCAAATAATCTGAGTGTTTGCCTGAATCTGACACTGGTGTTACGGTCGGTACAATTCGTCAACATGATTTTACGCGGGTGTGAAGCGTTTTCAACAACAACAACAAGTTTATTTCAAGTTAAGTATAGCTTACAAAGCTTGTGCCCGCAGTTAGCGAAGGCTATTCGAGGGGGGGCACTAAAGAAAAAGGAAAATTCTATAATATATACATATATATGTTAAACGAGCAATCCTAGAAGCAATCTAGTTTGTCCATTTCAACGAAACGACGCTCATTCACTTTGGTAAAAATGGAAAGATTGTTACATCAAGTAATCAATTCAGACGCGCAGGCCCTCACTCGTACAAAACAAGAAAAACAACTGATTCATAATTTTAACATACATAAACTGGCAACCCTGTCACAGTGTTCCTTTAAGGAAAGGGGTCATTATTTTTGTTAAAGAAGCAATGAATTAACAACATCTGCTCTATCATGAAAATTTGTTGAGTTTATCATCTTTTTAACGTCCAAAAACTTCAAATAATGATGAATCGTGAGTGTCTGACCATTTTCATTATATTTAGTTTTATTCAGACGCTCAGTACATAGAGAAACTTAGAGCTATTTAATACTTCTAATTAAAAATACGCCTTTCAAGTCTACACATCCACTTGATTCTAAAGAGGAAAGGAAAGAACAGGTATTAGATGCACAATAATGGATGTATAATACGTGTTTTGTATTGCTATTAGTATTCTAAACAAGAGAATACCGTTTCTTTGATTTGCGTCTAGCTTTGATGGAAAAAGAGATAATGATAATGATTAAGATGATGATGCCGATGATAATGATGATTATCACAACGACGATATTCACGGACAACAGGAACAATAACAATTTAATTGCACTCAAGGAACATCCTATGTGTAAACATTCAACTCTGACACTCATCAAGCTACGACTTGACAACCACGAGGTCCATAAAACGTCGCTCTCACATGCGCAAAACAATCGACCTAATTATTCTCTCATGACAATGATGATAATGATGATGACGGATGATGATGATGATGATGATGATGAAAAATGAAGGTTATAGAGTGTAAGCGACAACGATCACATATCAAAACGCTTCTGTTCCAACGCCGTGCTTCCCGTAAGTTTCACGTAAGTCAAAACGCGCTTGACAAGATCAATATGGCGCGTGGATTTTCCCTCGCAAATCCTGCCTTCGAAGCATGATCGGAAAGCTTTCGATCCTCTCCCTGCTACTCAGAAAGCCACACCTACCTCCTCGTTTTGCAGTAGTGCATAACCACCATGCCTGGACGAACGAGGAATCTCAGTCTCCTGGGGAGAAGAATTTGTACTTGTCGACATTGCGTTAGATGGATTAACGTTCACAAGACGAGATTGAAACTGTTCTTGTAGGGTACTCGTTGCCATCCCTTCAGACGAGGTAGCTTGGGCCATCACATGCTGACCTGGTGATGTACCAGAAACAGGCACCAGGACCACTGGTTGTTGGGAACCCTGTGGTGCAGCTCCAGGGATACCTGGTTGCATCGGAATAGCTACAGGTACACCTGCAGGGAACTGGGGGACAACATATCCCTCCGCTGTTAGTATTTGAAGTATGTAAATTACTGTAGGTTTACCACAAATTTAGAGTGATAGTTGCTTCATACATTTTCCAGGGGGTAATAGTGGACTACACTGAAACCTCCAGAAAGGAGATGCTATTAATTTCTGTGTCTCATTTTAGAGCTTAATTTCAATTA